ATAAATCAAGCAATTTATATCTGGCGAACATTGTGGATATTTTTTGTAGTACTCAATGACGTTGCTGTGAAGCATTGCTAAGTGTTACACCAAAATCTGTCGACTTTTAGAAAACACTTGAAAACAAGATTTTTATAAATGTTTTCCCTTTATTTATAATTAAATCACGCAAGAAAAGCTCAACACCAAAATACGAAAACATGATTATGCGAACCAGGTTAGTTACAATAGGTATTACTAATCACACATAACAATATTAATTACTATCGCACAGAATAGACACGTGCTTTCACAATTTGGTATGTGTGAAGAAATGTTATGCAATACTATCCAGTGCACGCGGTATTTCTTATCTTTATATAAACCGTTAATAATATTACGCAGCAAGTCAGGATGGCCGAGCGGTCTAAGGCGCTGCGTTCAGGTCGCAGTCGGGTCTTCCCGGCGTGGGTTCGAATCCCACTTCTGACAATTATGTTTTTGTATCATTCCATTTCTATATATCTATTTTCCACGATAACATGAAATTAATATTATCTATCGAAATATAACTGTCACTTGAATTTATAAGTATATTTAATGCAAATATAATTGTAATCGTACAAAGAAGTACGTATGGCTATATCTATGCTTACCTTTAAGTCTATTAATTTATGAATAGTTTTGTTACACTTGGGAATATAGCAAGGCACATGAAAATTGATACATCGAGCTAAGTGATATAATCCACTGCATTCAAATTAGAGTCTCCCCTACATAAATTCGAACCTCTTTTCTAACATTAACCTTTGTAGCTTGTGCAATGAACACTAGTCCGAGTTTCCTCTGACCCTTGACACCCCGTATTTGATATTTGGCTTTGTATGTTGGGGTGAACCCCAACATAAAAAAAAAACAAATATCAAAAGATAAGGTGTCATGGGTCAGAGGAAACTCAGACTAAATGAACACTAGAGGCAAAATATATCAACACAATTAAGAAAATACAACTCACGATTAAAGATCTCATATGTCGATCTACAAATGTAACATGTATAAACTTACTCGATGGCGCTATATTCCCACGAATCATATTCGGTTTACCCATTTATCCATTTTTCACTCTTTCTTTCATAGAGGAATGTACGTGTACGTATACATATAACACGAGGTTCAAGCATATAACAACTGTACAGATTTAATTTTATAAACCTTAACATATGTCATTTTTTACCTATGGACGTCCATATATACATATGTATGCCAATTTCTGTATATGTATGTCATTTGAAACAGTCTTCACATTGTAGTATTCATCGTATTCACACTTTATTAACTGTAGCATATCTATAGAGATCATCATATGTATGCTGAAATAACATAATAATGTGTCGAGATATTCATTTTTACACAATATTAACCATATTATTTGTAGAGATCATCGTATTTACACAACATTAACCATATCATAAGTAGAGAATGTCGTATTTACACAATAATAGCCATATCACGTGTAGAGATAATTGTATTTACACAACATTAACCATATCATGTGTCGATATCATCTTCTGTATTAACCGTATCATGTCGTTCAACATCATAAGTGTAATCAGTCTATAAAATAAATGAATACATCAAAGGAAAAACCATGTTTTATATCAAGGCAACATATGACTCGTGTGTGTGTGTGTGTGTGTGTGTGTGTGTGTGTGTGTGTGTGTGATCTACTTTAACGAAACGTATGCATATGACGTATGACTCGCGGGGTGTGTGTGTGTGTGTGTGTGTGTGTGTGTGTGTGTGTGTGTGTGTGAGAGATCTACTTTAACGAAACGTATGCATATGTCAATGTCATCATTAATGTTCTTATTGCATTGTCATATTTTTAGTTTTATGCGAGCTAATTTATAACTTAATTTTAATAAGTGTTTTTTACGTTGCTAAATGGAGCTGTTGTCAAATCAAGATTCAAGTGATGGTACACGCAATATATCGAGAAAAAAAAAAAGAAGTCAGGTACAAAGATCGGCGATATATGGACTTTGCACAGCATCTTGTGTATGTCAGGCTTCTTTTAAGGCCTACAGATCAAGAATTTTTGATAATCATTCTAGTCTTAACGCAAAATAAGTTGTATTTTCTTCGGACAGGATTCCAGCTAACTATAGACTGAGTACTGTATGATGCCTGAAACGGTCGACAACTCCAGTTTGTAAAAGACTATTATTTTAAGATTACCTTTCCTGATACTTTTCCAGGGGAGAGGGGATGGTTCCCATAATTCAGAGCTCGAAATTATGAGAGTTTTAACTAATGCACAGGACCATTAAACAAGAAAAGTTTTAATGATCACCGTCTAACAAAAAAGTGAAAGGCTCAAGTACAACAGAATTTTAATTCCACAAATAAAAAGAACATTTGTAATATTCAGACGCAATAAAAGTCTAATCACACTAATGTAAATAACAAAATGATAATAATCAACACAGAATACTCGCCTGTCTGACTTATAAATCCGGAGTAAAAAAAAAATGTTCCCTCTTGGGAAAAAAGAAATCTCCTTGCAAAATGAATGATATGCCATGATCCTTGTCCCCAATCCAAGTTTAATCTTTTGTGACAATTCTTGACCGTCACACACACACACACATATATATATATATATATATATATATATATATATATATATATATATATATATATATATATATATATATATATATATATATATATTTGTGAGCCAGCTTGGGCTCGTTGAAATTTTGAATTAATAAAAGACATTGTGTTTGGGTTAAATGTTAGACAAGCAAACAGTTTAAGACTCCTAATAACCATTTTCATCTAAAGGCTAATTGTTTGTACATGTTCTTTCACACCTCGATTTCATAAGTAACACTTCTACACACTTTTCGTCCATTGCATTAATTTGGTGCGCATTGTTTTAAACACATGGATTTGTTATATTAGAAAGTAAAACAACAAGAACCTTATGACTTAGGAACCTGAGGTCCTGTATAATATAAAGAACGTTATTCAAATATATACAAGTATGTATGTTTAATGTTAAATTAATTATGACAGAAACTGTATTGTTAATGTAAATATGCATATATAAACTGTATATATTTATCTGTGCTTAACTTACTAATCTAGAAATTTACGAAAATATCTTTTTTGTCTCCTGGAGATATTCATATTTTAACGAGGGACATACAGTACTACTACTACTACTCTCTCTCTCTCTCTCTCTCTCTCTCTCTCTCTCTCTCTCTCTCTCTCTCTCTCTCTCTCTCTCTCTCTCTCTCTCTCTCTCTCTCTTTGAAAAATATGTGTGCAGCATAACATTATGTATATGTCAGGATGACCGAAACGTCTAAGGCGCTATGTTCAAATCAATGTTCAAGTCACTGTCGGGTCTTCCCAGTTTGGGTCCGAATCTCATTTTTGTCAAACCGTTTATATTTTCTATCTTATGAGATCCGGCCATGGCGCAATAATATGCATATATAAACGTTCTCGCGAAAAGTCTGTAGTTGATTCTAAATCAATGATCAATTTTTACAAATTAGTCACTAGTGACGTATAAAAAAATAAAGATAAAAATATTAATAATCACCGTTATCTAAATTACTTAATACACATTTTTAGCACAATCCTTTCTGTTTTCTGTTCTCCCCTCTCAAGCATAACTGACAAACTGCGCAGACATGTGGAATGAGAGAGAAAAGGAATTTGGGCTGGATTAAAACCTTGAAAAAGAAATTACACCAAATAAGCTACAAGAATATGGTTCGTCGTAAACAATACGTGTACACTTACCTTATGATTTTTCAACAGTGTTTATAAAAATGCAATGTTGCAAACCAGTAAATTTTTCGGCTACGTGATGCACATACTTTATATATTTTGTTTGTTTTTGTTTATCAAACATATCATAATGTTCTAAAAGATCGATTATTATTATTATTATTATTATTATTATTATTATTATTATTATTATTATTATTATTATTATTAAATATGAAAATGTCCAAATCTCTCTCTCTCTCTCTCTCTCTCTCTCTCTCTCTCTCTCTCTCTCTCTCTCTCTCTCTCATCGTAGCAGGATAATCGCTAAAATCTATCAAATGGCGAACGTAGAGGATTTGATAATATGTCCGGACTTATAAATGATGATAAAAGTTAAGTCAAACCTACCAAAGGATGAGAGAGAGAGAGAGAGAGAGAGAGAGAGAGAGAGAGAGAGAGAGAGAGAGAGAGAGAGAGAGAGAGAGAGAGAGAGAGAGAGAGAGTTTGTTGGTCGAAAGTACTGTTGCTAAAGCAGAATAATGGCTTAGATTAACTGTAAATATATTACAATCTTTTAATTACCTCTTGCTGGTTCGTCACTTGGCTTAGTTTTCATGCGCCTGAAAGTGAAGGGCATTGTGTTCATTTGAATGGTGTAGCTATCTAAGTGTTGCTACTGCTCTACTTTTATTATTTAAACAATAATGTTATCATAAGTGTGCATTTTATTAATTTAATCAATGTGGTAAAAAATAGAAACCAAGAAAAGAAAAGAATCAACTTAGAGAGGTGATTGTAAATAGCCACGGACGAGATTAACATCTTGCAGCGGGCACTCCGATATGAGGTCATTAACTAGGTCAATACAAGGCTGCCTGTACTAAATATAATTCAGTTCAAACGGCAAATATGTGTATTTGTATGGGATATAAATAAAATACATGTACAGTATGTACGCTGTATCAATAATATGCTACGAGACAAATTTTTTATTAACAGGAAACGAAGCACAATATATATGCACAAAATAGAATCAATATGATTGATCAGTGATTACCCGATGACGCTCTATCTCCACGAGTCCCGCACAGCACACGAACTTGTATGTCCAACTCTGTGTGTGTGTGTGTGTGTGTGTGTGTGTGTGTGTGTGGATACTATATTTGTGTGAGGATACTGTCAGATTGTGTCTGCACTCACATAACTACACTGTATATTATTACACTGTATATGTCAGGATGGCCAAGTGGTTTAAGGCGCTGCGTTCAGGTCGCAGTCGCAGTCGCAGTCGCAGTCAAATTCCACTTCTGACAAAACAATTATATTACACATGGCATAATAGTAGTATCTGTATCGAATCTGTATTTTTAATGCTTAACGCCAATTTTCATCCTAACATAGGCCATACATGGCAGCCAATATAAATGATGGGGGAAGTACCAGGGAAACTCCGGAAAGAACCATACACCCACGAGAAACAATTGGCATGCTTTCTCACATCCCCACGTTTGCTGAAGCCGAGACTCGAACACACGCAGACAGAGGTGAGATATTAGTTATCCTTAACGGTGCGCATTAGACCACTTAGCCATTAGGGTCCCCAATAAATGTAAAAAAAATATCATCAAACTATATTTCCTGTAAGCGTGTTTATATCAGCTGTCTTATATATATATATATATATATATATATATATATATATATATATATATATATATATATATATATATATATATATATATATATATATATATATATATCTTTGCTTGCATTTTAAATTTATTAATATGTGTGTGTGCATGTGTGTGTGTGTGTGTGTGTGTGTGGATATTGTAAGATTGTGTCTGCACGCACATAACTTCACTGCATGTGTCAGGATGGCCGAGTGGTCTAAGGCGCTGCGTTCAGGTCGCAGTCGGGTCTTCCCGGCGTGGGTTCGAATCCCACTTCTGACAAAACAATTATTTTTCATATGGCATAACAGTAGTATCTGTATCTAATCCGTCGTTTTTGTAATGCTTAACGCCATTTTTCATCATAACATAGGCCATACATGGCAGCCAATACGAATGAAGGGGGGTGTACCGGGAAAACTCAGGAAAGAACCATGAACCCACGATAAACAACTAGTATGCTTTCTCACATCCCCACGTTCGCCGAAGCCGAGACACTCGAACACACGCAGACAGAGGAGAGATATTAGTTATCCTTAACAATGGATATATATATATATATATATATATATATATATATATATATATATATATATATATATATACATGCATTTCAAATTTATTAATGTGTGTGTGATACAAATCAGTGTACCTAATAAAAGACATCTCAAGATGGAAAAGCGATTCAAGTTGAAACAGTAATTCCGTAGTCTCACACATGGATTCAAGTCCCAAGAAAACATAACCTTTTCTAGTTTATTTTCAAACATTACAAACTTTGCCAGCATAAGGTAATATCGAGAGATGAAAGCAACCACTTGTATGCAAAGGTAAAATTGCCACTTTTGTACAATTTACTCGACGGCTTTTTATTTCCACGAATCACAATAATGATGTACATATACTCTCTCTCTCTCTCTCTCTCTCTCTCTCTCTCTCTCTCTCTCTCTCTCTCTCTCTCTCTCTCTCTCTCTCTCTCTCTCTCTCTCTCTCTCTCTTTGAAAAATATGTGTGCAGCATAACATTATGTATATGTCAGGATGACCGAAACGTCTAAGGCGCTATGTTCAAATCAATGTTCAAGTCACTGTCGGGTCTTCCCAGTTTGGGTCCGAATCTCATTTTTGTCAAACCGTTTATATTTTCTATCTTATGAGATCCGGCCATGGCGCAATAATATGCATATATAAACGTTCTCGCGAAAAGTCTGTAGTTGATTCTAAATCAATGATCAATTTTTACAAATTAGTCACTAGTGACGTATAAAAAAATAAAGATAAAAATATTAATAATCACCGTTATCTAAATTACTTAATACACATTTTTAGCACAATCCTTTCTGTTTTCTGTTCTCCCCTCTCAAGCATAACTGACAAACTGCGCAGACATGTGGAATGAGAGAGAAAAGGAATTTGGGCTGGATTAAAACCTTGAAAAAGAAATTACACCAAATAAGCTACAAGAATATGGTTCGTCGTAAACAATACGTGTACACTTACCTTATGATTTTTCAACAGTGTTTATAAAAATGCAATGTTGCAAACCAGTAAATTTTTCGGCTACGTGATGCACATACTTTATATATTTTGTTTGTTTTTGTTTATCAAACATATCATAATGTTCTAAAAGATCGATTATTATTATTATTATTATTATTATTATTATTATTATTATTATTATTATTATTATTATTATTATTAAATATGAAAATTTCCAAATCTCTCTCTCTCTCTCTCTCTCTCTCTCTCTCTCTCTCTCTCTCTCTCTCTCTCTCTCTCTCTCTCTCTCTCTCTCTCTCTCTCTCTCTCTCTCTCTCTCATCGTAGCAGGATAATCGCTAAAATCTATCAAATGGCGAACGTAGAGGATTTGATAATATGTCCGGACTTATAAATGATGATAAAAGTTAAGTCAAACCTACCAAAGGATGAGAGAGAGAGAGAGAGAGAGAGAGAGAGAGAGAGAGAGAGAGAGAGAGAGAGAGAGAGAGAGAGAGAGAGAGAGAGAGAGAGAGAGAGAGAGAGAGAGAGAGAGAGAGAGAGAGAGAGAGAGAGAGAGAGAGAGAGAGAGAGAGAGAGTTTGTTGGTGAAGGGCATTGTGTTCATTTGAATGGTGTAGCTATCTAAGTGTTGCTACTGCTCTACTTTTATTATTTAAACAATAATGTTATCATAAGTGTGCATTTTATTAATTTAATCAATGTGGTAAAAAATAGAAACCAAGAAAAGAAAAGAATCAACTTAGAGAGGTGATTGTAAATAGCCACGGACGAGATTAACATCTTGCAGCGGGCACTCCGATATGAGGTCATTAACTAGGTCAATACAAGGCTGCCTGTACTAAATATAATTCAGTTCAAACGGCAAATATGTGTATTTGTATGGGATATAAATAAAATACATGTACAGTATGTACGCTGTATCAATAATATGCTACGAGACAAATTTTTTATTAACAGGAAACGAAGCACAATATATATGCACAAAATAGAATCAATATGATTGATCAGTGATTACCCGATGACGCTCTATCTCCACGAGTCCCGCACAGCACACGAACTTGTATGTCCAACTCTGTGTGTGTGTGTGTGTGTGTGTGTGTGTGTGTGTGTGTGTGTGTGTGTGGATACTATATTTGTGTGAGGATACTGTCAGATTGTGTCTGCACTCACATAACTACACTGTATATTATTACACTGTATATGTCAGGATGGCCAAGTGGTCTAAGGCGCTGCGTTCAGGTCGCAGTCGCAGTCGCAGTCAAATTCCACTTCTGACAAAACAATTATATTACACATGGCATAATAGTAGTATCTGTATCGAATCTGTATTTTTAATGCTTAACGCCAATTTTCATCCTAACATAGGCCATACATGGCAGCCAATATAAATGATGGGGGAAGTACCAGGGAAACTCCGGAAAGAACCATACACCCACGAGAAACAATTGGCATGCTTTCTCACATCCCCACGTTTGCTGAAGCCGAGACTCGAACACACGCAGACAGAGGTGAGATATTAGTTATCCTTAACGGTGCGCATTAGACCACTTAGCCATTAGGGTCCCCAATAAATGTAAAAAAAATATCATCAAACTATATTTCCTGTAAGCGTGTTTATATCAGCTGTCTTATATATATATATATATATATATATATATATATATATATATATATATATATATATATATATATATATATATATATATATATATATATATATTTTGCTTGCATTTTAAATTTATTAATGTGTGTGTGTGTGTGTGTGTGTGTGTGTGTGTGTGTGTGTGTGTGTGTGTGTGTGGATATTGTAAGATTGTGTCTGCACGCACATAACTTCACTGCATGTGTCAGGATGGCCGAGTGGTCTAAGGCGCTGCGTTCAGGTCGCAGTCGGGTCTTCCCGGCGTGGGTTCGAATCCCACTTCTGACAAAACAATTATTTTTCATATGGCATAACAGTAGTATCTGTATCGAATCCGTCGTTTTTGTAATGCTTAACGCCATTTTTCATCATAACATAGGCCATACATGGCAGCCAATACGAATGAAGGGGGATGTACCGGGAAAACTCAGGAAAGAACCATGAACCCACGATAAACAACTAGCATGCTTTCTCACATCCCCACGTTCGCCGAAGCCGAGACTCGAACACACGCAGACAGAGGAGAGATATTAGTTATCCTTAACAATGGATATATATATATATATATATATATATATATATATATATATATATATATATATATATATATATATATACATGCATTTCAAATTTATTAATGTGTGTGTGTGATACAAATCAGTGTACCTAATAAAAGACATCTCAAGATGGAAAAGCGATTCAAGTTGAAACAGTAATTCCGTAGTCTCACACATGGATTCAAGTCCCACAAAAACATAACCTTTTCTAGTTTATTTTCAAACATTACAAACTTTGCCAGCATAAGGTAATATCGAGAGATGAAAGCAACCACTTGTATGCAAAGGTAAAATTGCCACTTTTGTACAATTTACTCGACGGCTTTTTATTTCCACGAATCACAATAATGATGTACATACTCTCTCTCTCTCTCTCTCTCTCTCTCTCTCTCTCTCTCTCTCTCTCTCTCTCTCTCTCTCTCTCTCTCTCTCTCTCTCTCTCTTTGAAAAATATGTGTGCAGCATAACATTATGTATATGTCAGGATGACCGAAACGTCTAAGGCGCTATGTTCAAATCAATGTTCAAGTCACTGTCGGGTCTTCCCAGTTTGGGTCCGAATCTCATTTTTGTCAAACCGTTTATATTTTCTATCTTATGAGATCCGGCCATGGCGCAATAATATGCATATATAAACGTTCTCGCGAAAAGTCTGTAGTTGATTCTAAATCAATGATCAATTTTTACAAATTAGTCACTAGTGACGTATAAAAAAATAAAGATAAAAATATTAATAATCACCGTTATCTAAATTACTTAATACACATTTTTAGCACAATCCTTTCTGTTTTCTGTTCTCCCCTCTCAAGCATAACTGACAAACTGCGCAGACATGTGGAATGAGAGAGAAAAGGAATTTGGGCTGGATTAAAACCTTGAAAAAGAAATTACACCAAATAAGCTACAAGAATATGGTTCGTCGTAAACAATACGTGTACACTTACCTTATGATTTTTCAACAGTGTTTATAAAAATGCAATGTTGCAAACCAGTAAATTTTTCGGCTACGTGATGCACATACTTTATATATTTTGTTTGTTTTTGTTTATCAAACATATCATAATGTTCTAAAAGATCGATTATTATTATTATTATTATTATTATTATTATTATTATTATTATTATTATTATTATTATTATTAAATATGAAAATGTCCAAATCTCTCTCTCTCTCTCTCTCTCTCTCTCTCTCTCTCTCTCTCTCTCTCTCTCTCTCTCTCTCTCTCTCTCTCTCTCTCTCTCTCTCTCTCTCTCTCATCGTAGCAGGATAATCGCTAAAATCTATCAAATGGCGAACGTAGAGGATTTGATAATATGTCCGGACTTATAAATGATGATAAAAGTTAAGTCAAACCTACCAAAGGATGAGAGAGAGAGAGAGAGAGAGAGAGAGAGAGAGAGAGAGAGAGAGAGAGAGAGAGAGAGAGAGAGAGAGAGAGAGAGAGAGAGAGAGAGAGAGAGAGAGAGAGAGAGTTTGTTGGTGAAGGGCATTGTATTCATTTGAATGGTGTAGCTATCTAAGTGTTGCTAATGCTCTACTTTTATTATTTAAACAATAATGTTATCATAAGTGTGCATTTTATTAATTTAATCAATGTGGTAAAAAATAGAAACCAATAAAAGAAAAGAATCAACTTAGAGAGGTGATTGTAAATAGCCACGGACGAGATTAACATCTTGCAGCGGGCACTCCGATATTAGGTCATTAACTAGGTCAATACAAGGCTGCCTGTATTAAATATAATTCAGTTCAAACGGCAAATATATGTATTTGTATGGGATATAAATAAAATACATGTACAGTATGTACGCCGTATCAATAATATGCTACGAGACAAATTTTTTATTAACAGGAAACGAAGCACAATATATATGCACAAAATAGAATCAATATGATTGATCAGTGATTACCCGATGACGCTCTATCTCCACGAGTCCCGCACAGCACACGAACTTGTATGTCCAACTCTGTGTGTGTGTGTGTGTGTGTGTGTGTGTGTGTGTGTGTGTGTGTGTGTGTGTGGATACTATATTTGTGTGAGGATACTGTCAGATTGTGTCTGCACTCACATAACTACACTGTATATTATTACACTGTATATGTCAGGATGGCCAAGTGGTCTAAGGCGCTGCGTTCAGGTCGCAGTCGCAGTCGCAGTCAAATTCCACTTCTGACAAAACAATTATATTACACATGGCATAATAGTAGTATCTGTATCGAATCTGTATTTTTAATGCTTAACGCCAATTTTCATCCTAACATAGGCCATACATGGCAGCCAATATAAATGATGGGGGAAGTACCAGGGAAACTCCGGAAAGAACCATACACCCACGAGAAACAACTGGCATGCTTTCTCACATCCCCACGTTTGCTGAAGCCGAGACTCGAACACACGCAGACAGAGGTGAGATATTAGTTATCCTTAACGGTGCGCATTAGACCACTTAGCCATTAGGGTCCCCAATAAATGTAAAAAAAATATCATCAAACTATATTTCCTGTAAGCGTGTTTATATCAGCTGTCTTATATATATATATATATATATATATATATATATATATATATATATATATATATATATATATATATATATATATATATATTTGCTTGCATTTTAAATTTATTAATATGTGTGTGTGCATGTGTGTGTGTGTGTGTGTGTGGATATTGTAAGATTGTGTCTGCACGCACATAACTTCACTGCATGTGTCAGGATGGCCGAGTGGTCTAAGGCGCTGCGTTCAGGTCGCAGTCGGGTCTTCCCGGCGTGGGTTCGAATCCCACTTCTGACAAAACAATTATTTTTCATATGGCATAACAGTAGTATCTGTATCGAATCCGTCGTTTTTGTAATGCTTAACGCCATTTTTCATCATAACATAGGCCATACATGGCAGCCAATACGAATGAAGGGGGATGTACCGGGAAAACTCAGGAAAGAACCATGAACCCACGATAAACAACTAGCATGCTTTCTCACATCCCCACGTTCGCCGAAGCCGAGACTCGAACACACGCAGACAGAGGAGAGATATTAGTTATCCTTAACAATGGATATATATATATATATATATATATATATATATATATATATATATATATATATATATATATACATGCATTTCAAATTTATTAATGTGTGTGTGTGATACAAATCAGTGTACCTAATAAAAGACATCTCAAGATGGAAAAGCGATTCAAGTTGAAACAGTAATTCCGTAGTCTCACACATGGATTCAAGTCCCAAGAAAACATAACCTTTTCTAGTTTATTTTCAAACATTACAAACTTTGCCAGCATAAGGTAATATCGAGAGATGAAAGCAACCACTTGTATGCAAAGGTAAAATTGCCACTTTTGTACAATTTACTCGACGGCTTTTTATTTCCACGAATCACAATAATGATGTACATATACTCTCTCTCTCTCTCTCTCTCTCTCTCTCTCTCTCTCTCTCTCTCTCTCTCTCTCTATATATATATATATATATATATATATATATATATATATATATATATATATATATATATATATATATATATATATATATATATATATATATATATAAATTTAAGAGTGTACATATACGTATAACGTTTTTACGTTTTTGTTTGACTATTATTTTTTATTTAATATTTCTGTATTATCCTTCCCATTTTCTCTATTATTTAATGTTTCCGTTTCTCTATATTTTTAAGAGATAGAGCGCATAAAACTGTAATGGATATGTCAGGATATCCGAACAGTCTAAGGCGCTGAGTTGAATCCGAGTTAAAGACAGATTATATAGAAAAGACTTCAATTGTACAATAGAATGTATGCCTTTTTAATGGATAAATATCGTTGCAAAAGAATTAAAACCTACTATATCCGT